TTCTGGGCCGCCTCTAACTGAGCCCGAACAGCGGCGGTAGCCTGCGCCTGATAATAAAGAATATCAATGGTCAGTACTTCATTTTTGGCAATTTGAAACATTGCCTTATCACAGTCAGAGGCGGCCATAGCTTTTGCAGCCTTTACCTCTTTGTTTTTCCGATCAAGCGGCTTGCGAAGGCCGTTAACTCGGAGCAGGGCCTAAGTAAAAAAAAAACAGGCGTCAGTTTCCAAACAAAAAAGAAAACAGGCGTCCAGAAATTCAAATACTCAAAAATATGCTAAGTATACCTCAGCAAGGACCCCTGCAATCCCGTCAAGGTCAAGGGTGCCGACACCCCTGACCGCCTCCCTTTCAGCCGGAGGAACTGCCCTGATCATAGACTTGGCCATCTCTACCAAGTCAGGCTCCTGGGGGCCGGCTGCATCAAGCATAAACAAACGGATTAGACTTAGTAAAAAAGGAGCAAGTCTAAAATTTACAAGGACAACTTCATACCTCTAGGCGGCCCAGTTGGAGCTTTAGAAGAAGTGGCCGGCTGTTTCTCAGCCGCCACCTGTTTCCTGGCAGAACCAGGAGAGCTCCCAACAGTCGTCTTCCGGGCCTTGGGGTCCGGCTGTTGGGAAGATGAAGCTCTTGGAGCACCCGTCTAAAAAAGAAAAAAAAAAAGTCAGTATATGCATAAACACAACTCCAAAAAGAGGGTGAAAGATTCGGAGCTCACCAAGGGTGCCCCCTTCTTGGGGGAGTCGGTTGAAGCTTGTTGCATGATAGAGGCCCGCAACATGGCCGCCGCAGTCTTGGAGGCGGTGATTTTGCTCATGGCGTCAGCTGCAAAAACAAACAGCAAAGTTAATAAAAGATAAACAACAAATGTATGAAACAACAGAGTATTCGACAGGCCGACTACCTCTTGAGCACCGACTGCTGAGGCCGCAGGCGGCCAAAAAGTACTCGTCATAGAGCCACTTGAAGCTCGGGACGCAGTGCAGGGGTACTTGCTCTCGTACCCCTGAAGTAGAGTCGACCCTCGACTCTACTTTAAAGAGTCCTTTATCAAGGATCTCTTTCTTAGCCTTGGGGGGAACAGGCGGCATGCTACGGCCGCCTGCAAGAAGGGGCGGATTCCTGTTCCACCTATTGAAGCGCTTGTTCTGCTCAATGTCAGAATTCTCAATGATGAGGAAGGTGCTCCGCCAGTCCTTCCACTTGTTTGCTTTACCTCTCGTCATGAGGTAGCCCTTGTGGCTTGTCAATTGATACCAGCCGGTACCGCCTGTCTTAGGGGTCCGGCTGAGATAGTTCATATGGGCGAAAGCCTCGAAGCTCGGCTCCACCCCGTGCAGTTCGCACCCGGCCACATAGCCGAGTACGTTGACCCAAGAGTTTGGGGCTAACTGCCATAACCCCAACTCATACCCATCCAAAATCCGCTGAACAGCCGGATGTAATGGGAAGCGAAGCCCTGCCTTGATGGCCGTCTCGTAGCAGCCAAAGCAGGAGCTTTCGTAACTGGAACCAGCCGGCCAGACGACTGTGTCTTCTGGATCCGGCACAAACACTAGAAAATCGGGGCCCATGGTGTGGTTTGCAATAAAGCTCTCCACTTTCTCTTGCATGGCTGTGATTCGGCCCCGAGGTACCGTGCAGTAGTAGGGGGTATTTAGCTCTCGGTAAGAGGCGGATGGTTCCGCCCAATTGTCCCCCTTCTCAACTGCGTGAGAAAGTCTCGCCTCTTGCAGGCGGCTATTTTTCTCTTCTGTACCCAAAGAAGCATGGCCAGAAGAGCTTGACGAGGAATCGTCCTCGGACGAGTCTGAAGAGGACGACTCCTCCCCTCTCCCGGAGGGGCCCGCCTCCTCTCTTTGAAAAGGAGCAGATTTGTTAACTGTTAAATTGGAAGGGGTCACTATGACTCCCCCCACAAAATTGCCGGCATCCAGGCCGCCTTGTCTCACTTCAACATCTGGCGCCTGATCAGATGTTTCACTAATCGGCACCCTGTGGGAGGAGCCGTCTGAATTTGAGATCCTAGCTGTCTTTTTCGTTCTGGCCATCCTGCTCTGCATAGACAAAGATACAGTCGGACTTTGTATAAAGGGCAAAGATGGGTCCGGAAAAGGGCAGGCGGCACTCCTAGTCCTAGATTCAGCCGTCCCCGGTGACCGGCTGATCACTAACCTAGGTCGTGTCGTGTGCTTCCGTGGTGCCATTTCAGAAAATAAAAAGAAAATTAAGAGTAAGAGAACTGAGTTACCTGAACGAGTGACGGTTGATGAAGTTCTGAAAATCCTGTGCAGTCGGCTTGTCAGAACAGGCGGTAGGCAGAAAAAGTCCAAAATGTCAGAGCAAGTTCAGGGGTCCGAATGTTCTCAAATAGTTCTCAAAGTGTGAAAATGACTCAAGGCAACTCTCCCTTATATAGGCGAAGTGAGAAGGCGAAGGGTTACTTTCAGAATTCAAAATTTGGGCGGGATAATCTCTCGTCCTTTCGCCGACTGACACTTGTAGCTGGCCGTCGCCCGTTACAGTGCGACACCTGTCACAGGTAACGCGTGACCAATCACGTGCCACCTGTGAGGGGCAAATGATTAGGGGATTTTGCTCCTACCAATCGGAGTGCGCCACGTGGACCAATCAGGTCCTGCCAAGTGTCTCCTAGTTGGAACTGTCAGGGCTTGCCACGTGGCACGCGCTTATTCGTCCACCTTGGACCTGTTATGTCACGACATGTGGCATACTCCATGCCTAATGGAGAACCCGGCCACCCAGGCCCAACTTCCGAGGGAAGCCCAATCAGCCCTAGGTTTACCTAAACCTAGGATGGACACGTTTCCCAAGGTTATAAATACCTCCCTTAATCCTCATTAAGGGGACACGCGAAAAACATTACGGAACACATTAATAACCGGCTGATCTCGCTAACAAAGCAGATTACCTACATTAAACACTCTCACCTAGAGAGACCTTATTACTTTAATTTCCGCATTAATTACTCCTTAATCAGGTACTAACTTGACCGTTGGAGGCGGAGCTCACAGGAGTCTCCGTTATTTTGCAGGTACAGGCGTCCGGTTCCAGTCTCGGAATTGTAAATCTCCCGCAGGACATCAGAAAACCCCGAAACAACTAACATTTCACGGTTCAATTTATCCATTAATGTAGTAGGTTGGTTGTGGACGAGGTTGGCGATTCTATCGAAATAAAAGATATGATAAAACAATGAATAATGATTTAGGATTTAAATTATTAAAAATTTATCATTTGCCATTAAAGATTTTATATAACGGAAAAAAATATCATATTTACAATTTATTTATATTTAATAAATTCATTATAAATTATAGTAAAAAAAAATATTAAACTTTTGTAATTTTGTCTGAATTATTAAATACAATAAATCAAATAATTAAAAATCTTAGATGAAAAACCGTGCATTGCACGGGTTTCCTTCTAGTCTTTTATAAAGTCAATCAAAACACTTTATTTTTACTTACTACGGAGTAATGGAATATGTGTAGTATTACATTTGACTTTTTTCATTATTCACGTAATGATTTTGACTTGACTCTTTAACTTATTTATAAAATACAAATGTTGTTGTACGGACTACGGAGTATTATACTTCCTCCGTATTTTAAATATTGCACCACTTTTTTAACAAAATATCTCTGTTCACACTGTAGATAACTAATGTATTCTTATTTTTAACACTTGAATCCTCACTTGTTTACATTACATGAATAATTTTGTATTTTTACCTTTCTTTCTCTTCCTTTTCCTTACTATCAAAAAAAATGTCCAACCCCTATGGTGTATTAAAAGAACGGAGGAAGTATATTTTCGAATTTTTAATAATGTATGCTTTCATACTATTAATTTTCTTATAATTTTAACTAATATATAATTGAGAAAAAACAATGGTCAAAGTTATGTCTCGACATACGTGTTTATTCAAAGTGTCACACTTAAAAATACATAGAGGGAGTATATAAGAACATACTCCATATGTCAAAATCCAATTCGAGGAAAGTGCACCAAAACCTTTGAGTTTGTAAATGATCACTTGTTACTTAAGCTCTACCTCTTTTGCTCCTTCCACGTAGTATTTTTCCAGAGCTTGCAACAACCGTAGTTCTATAATTTTCCTTCTAATATTTTTTACTTTTCAATCGTAACATCATACAAAGTAATGCGCACTCTATATTTTTAAGGGGATGTGTTTAAGCTAGGGCAGTGACTTTTTTATGGCTATTTGCCTAAGTATCTCTATTATACGTATTGGACAAATCTTCCATAAACATTGCAATTTTTTTGCTTTACATTCACTTGTACTCATTGGAAACATAATTGACAGAAACAAATGCAAGTAAATACTATGTACATTTTTCATTAGTGGTAATTTCTTTTTACCAAGAAATGTATACCTTCTCTTCTCTTACTTTAAAAGTGTGGCATCTCCTGTATGGTTATGCTTGTATTTGGAATTTCATTATAAGTGAAAGTTACAATGGAGGAAAGAAGGAAAATCGCAAAGTTGATTATGAAAAATCAGTCCAAGTTTGAAGCAAATTTGTTGCAAAGATGTTGCTAGCTTTTGTTTTTATTGCTCTGTACTAAATAGCCAAAAAAAAAAAAAAAAAAAAAAAATTATTTACCAAATTGATGTGAACCCATTCTTTATTTTATTTATTTTATTTTATTTTATTTTATTTTTTTTTGAGGAAAAGCTCCAACGGAGCCTCAACATTCTTTTTTACTAGTGTATAATTTTTTTTACCAATATAATTAAACGGACAATAGAAATACCAAGTATGTCTTTATTGTCTATATGTTAAAATATACAGCTTGACTTTTTTTTTTTTACAAATTGAACAAAATTACTCAGTAATTTGTAAAAATTAAGATAATTTTAAAAAATACTTGAAGAAAAAACTAATAATTTATAAAAGGATGTGCTTCAATGGTGCCAATATCTACAGGAGCTTCTCAATGCCTGATGTTAAAAATCGGAAGTGTTTAATTCACTGAACCTGGAAAATAGCACAGAGAGACGATCTAAAGCATAAGAGGTCTCATTGTTCAGGCTGGAAAACAAGAACAAGCTCAACTTCATTCTGAATCAGCTAGCGTTCAGTAATCAAATCCAAACAACTCCTACCGTCTTACATGGGAAAAAATCTACTTGGGTACAAAGATGATATATCATCAAACTTCTACTCAGAGAACTTTGGACTTGTTCTGAACGAAAAATTAATGACGAAAAAAGAAATTAAACCCTGATTCATATCAAAGTTCAGTCTTCCAGAATGCTCCTCTTTCTGCACTGAGCTCATATGCTATACCAATTTTTTACCACTCCTGAAACAGGTTTTTAAATTCTCCATCACAAGTTCTGTGAATTAATCGATATTTTCCATGCAGCCTACAGAAACATGCAATCTGCTGATCAGTGAATGACAGGCTTCAGAGGATGGCCCCTCACTTGTGATAGCTCAATATGAGCATCTAAGTCTTCATCCAGCTCACCAATAATGCTTCTGTGAATGCAAATAGTAACATCTAACTCTCTAGCATACCAATTCATGGGGGCAAAACAGAGAAGCCAAGTGCTAATGATTAACCAACTTTAAGAAAAGATATCATACATGTTGTCACCCCTGATGATGTACAAACCCAATACAATTTGTTGGACTCCTTCCTGCAACCCAGCAAATGACACATGGTTATTTGAGAATACACTTTCAAACAGTGCATGGATGACGGATTAATGTAAACAGCAATTATAGGAGATGTTAATGACAGAACATCAGCTTCATTCCTGAAAGAGGGGCAGAGGGGGGAGGGGTTCAACTCGCACCCCATGTATGGATCCAAAGATTCCAAACCACAAGACTGATTTTAGTTAATAGAGAAAAATGATCTATTAGACTCAAAATTCTAAACAAGCACCTACTGTATATTAGATAGTAGCAGACACAGTGAACAGAGTAGATAAAAGTTTACGAAGCTTGAAACAACGGAGTTGTGTAACTCAAGCAATAACTCCGTATAAGGCTACAGAGATACATAAGATGATCCTCCAATAACTTTTCTGCACTCCACATGCAATATTTTAAGCACTGGACATAATCAACACGACAAAATATCTTATTTTTACGATTTACATTTCCAAAGAGAACACTGTACAAAGAAATTTTATACTTAAAAGTATACATAAACATGGTAAAAATAGATACTGAATGCTTCATATCTCATTAAACTCAATAATGAAATCCTATCTTTCTACATTGTTCCTCATTACTGCTTCATGAGATCCAGTGATTAAGTAGGCTTAGTATCACTAAGAATATAACTGATATACTATGCTTTCAACCTTCAAGGCTTCACCTCAAATCAGTTAAGGAACACAAATTCCACCTAGAAAACCTTTCCCCTGAAACTATGAGTTGATCAAAATAATAATTACAGAGTTTACATTATTTTGCACCATTCCAATTGTCAAAAGATAAAATTATCAAGTAGGTCTGTTTTGACTTGAGACATAGAAAAACTTCATGATGACTTTAAAAATAAATAAATTAATTAAAGAAGGGGAAAGAGAGAGAGACACCGAAGAGATTTAAATCAAACCTTGGTAGAAAAAACCCTCTCATGCGATTCATCAAGAATAATATTTGTTGCCTGGTCAAAACCTTTTAGGATTCCCTGAATCATAATGTATCACAATAATAAGATAAAGATGCTTAGTATTAAAGGCCAACTTAACAGAAACACAGCTACTATTTGGAGTATGTGCAAGCTCACCACTATGTTGCGTCCATCATTGGTAATGACTGAGATCATTTCTGCAGGGCAGAGGGAAAGAAAGGTTGTTAACATACAAAGGCCATAGTAACTTAAGTAGCTTTCAGAAAACAATGTTGCAGAAGAAATGGCTTCAATAAATTATAGCCCTGCCTTCTTTCAAAAGCACACTTCCTCAAATGCAAGCTTGTCAACTGAAACTACAATGTAAAGCATACACACAAATTTAGATCACTTACGATCTACAAGAGGCTCGAGTCCAGGTCCAGCAGACATTGTGCAAACTCTCACAGACAACAATTAGATAGGATTTCCAATGATCACCTAGAAAAGAAGCATCATTCATGCATGAAAAAATAATTAGACATGTGAATAAATGCATTTTATCTATCATTTATTATTCTTGCTTTCCATTAGTTCCCTTTATTTCAATAATTTGGAAGGTGGAAAGACGGACAAAAATTCAGGACAGTTAAACATTTTGGCCCAGGCATCTAGAAGAGATACCCCAACTCACATAAACTCAAACGGCTTAGCAAATATCAAAAAATTTGGAAATTTTGACCATAAAATTTCCGTTGGGAAAGACTCGCAGTATGGGTAAAGAAGTCCCTGTATTTCCTTGTATTTCCAAAATCTACAAAGACAACCATGTACTGAATACACGTGCAGTCCACGCAAAGACAGTACGATAACACACATCATACTTTCGAATTACACTGCAATCTTTTGGAATTGCACTGCAATTGTAGATTAATAGAATCATCCCCTTATTGCAAAAGACTCTCAATTTATAAGGAGTTATCTCTACTGCAAGGACGAAAAAAAAATTGAGTCATCCGGTGAAGACAAGTAAGCATATTAGTAAACAAAACATCTAAATACTATAGAAGTATAATGGACCCTTAAAAGATAGAACTACCATGTTTGTTAAAAGGATAGCTAGCTTGAAACCATCAGTGAATCACGGTTAAGTTGTTTTGACAATGTCCACCAACCACTCAGCAGAATTGAAACAGCCAAATATAGTTCACTTCTTTACTCCATTAATACGTACTCAGAACCCATAGCAGCCAAATCCGCCCCGACCCGGGGCAAGAAGGGCAGCCGCCTAGGCCCGAGGAGAAAAGGTCCATTTCATAGTTCCGTCTTAACATTAAAGGGTTATAAAGAAAATCCTGCAACACATTAACAATTAATATTGACTTAAGTATTAAATTAGGCTCGAATAATAGCATCAAACTCTTCTTGCAGAAGAATATCAACGTTACATGCACGTAGAAAAATTCTAGCAACGAAATTGCTCGTTATAATCTTTCATAACTTCAATAATTATACAACCAATAGTTCGATAGTCCATCTTAGAAGAACCCTAAGTTGAGTAAACTGAAAATCAAATTAACGATAGTGTGAAGCTAAACCCTAGATTGTGAAATTGATACTCGATGATCAAAAATAATTTACCTCAGGCGCCGCTTCAATGGAGGAGAGAAAGCTCAGTCGCCGCTTTAATGGAGAATTCAGAGCACGCTTCAACGGAGGAGAGAGAAATATGGGTGCAGCGTATAAGGGAAAAACTCACGGGGCGTGCTTGGCAGGAGGGACAATAAGGTGAAACTAATAGATGGGATAAAGGTAAAAATAGTGTATTTTATTGTTTGGGAATGAGTTGGATTAAATTGGAATAACCAATAAAAATACAAAATTATCCTTACTATTCTTTCTTTACTCTCTTATTTTTTCTCTTTCATTAAGAGTAGAAATATCTTTTACCCATTAAACTTAATCCCCATCCCTTATACCCCCTAGTTATTAATTTAGAGGGATAATACCCTTTTTTATCCCCCTCCTAATCCTCACCCCTCTAAACAAACAAAAGACTTGTTAAATCCTTCCTTTTTTTTTATCCTATCCCTCTAAACAAACACCCTGTCAAAGGTTGACAAACTGAACATAAGAGGAAGATTAATGACACGCATATTTTCAACCGTCCGATCTATATAATACGGTATAACAATGGTCACAATTCATTTTTTTAAAAGTTTTGTCATTAATAGAATTCAAAGTTTAATCTAATGGGAAAAATTATACTAGTACTTTCTAACCTGGGAGGTTCAATCCTTACTAAAATACTTTGAAAGAGGGGAACCTTCATTTTCCCTCCTCATTTTTAAAGTGTATGGCTAGCAAATACTAGATCAATAAAAACTTGAGGGTTGAGGTTTGATCAAAATCATTCTCCTTATCTTAAAAAAAATAGAATTCAGAGAAAATACAAATTAATCTATTTTATCAAAGAAATTTGTCAATTTAAAGGGTATTTTTGACTTTTTCTTCAATTAGTTTGGGATATTTGGGTAACAGCGCAATGATGACTTGTTCAACTTGTCAATTGAGCATGTCCAATGTGGGTAATGACGTTTGACAATACTTTATCTATTATTAAGAATGTCAGTGGGGCGGGTCAAGTAGGAGATGGGTTTTGGTTTGGCGGGTGGTGGGGCGAGGATGGAGATAAAACCATACCTGCCATGGGTGATGGGGCAAGGATGGATTTTAGCTTGTACCCGCCCCATCCCCACTACGTCCCACCCACCTCGCTTCGTACCCGCCCCATCCCCACTACGCCCCACCCACCTCGCTTCGTATCCGCCCCATCCCCACAGGCCACATCTCTCTCTCTCTCTCTCTCTCTCTCTCTCTCTATATATATATATATATATATATACACACACACTTTTAAGCGGGTCTTGGGTAGGAATTAGGTGGGGGTGGATATCCAAGTGGGGGGTTGGGCAAGGATGTTTTTGGAATTGTATCCATCAGAGGAATGAGATGAGTTTTGGACCCGCCGCGGGGACGGGGATGGGGATGGAAAGCCAACATCCGCCCCACCTCGCCTCGCCTCTTGACATCCCTAGCTATTATTATAAACATTGGTTAACCCCCAAACCTAGGATTCAAGCAGAATAAAGCCTGCAACCATGACATCTATTATGCATATGTAATACTCTACACAATCATTAGGTGGGGGTATAGAGGAGGTAAGGGTTAGCCATTCGCAATTCCTTATCAATAGCAAACTCATATCCGTAATTACTCCCAAATCACATATTTTATAAAGGGTTTATTTCTCCAATTACCATAACACTATAGATGAATCTTCTAGGTCTGTTTAGCTTAGATTTTATGGAGGACATGGTCACTCCACCCCTTTTAGGATATACTATGCCCTTAATTTCACCCTTTGTTCATAGGATTTTCATTTACTTTGATAATGGCGATTTTGTTGGTGGAAGGTGGGTGGAGATTTGGTGGAGAGAGAAAGAGAGATCAGAGGTGGAGGTAAAGAACGTGAGGACGTCAGCAGGGGTGACGAGACGAATGCGGGAGTAGATAGGGGTGGAGTTGGGGAGGTCTTCGTTGAGGTTCATGTTTGTTCGGGTGAAGTTGGTGGTTTTTTATGGCTGTCATTCATGAATGAAGGAAGCAAGCTTTGAGGAGTGAGAGAGGATGAAAAAGGTAAAAAGTGAGGAGTTAATAGAGTTAGGAAACGATACCATTAGCTTTTTACCCTTCATTTTGACTCAGCATTTGATACAGATAACAAATTAGCTTGCATTAGTTCCTCATTGTTACCAAATAACCACTTGATTGACATTGGTATGAGCGGATAGGCTCCATTTGACGAGAAAATTATTTCAACAAATGTTTTACATTTTAAATTCTTGAATTTGACACATTGGTTAAGCTAAAATAGTTAACTTATCAGTTGATTCGATTAAACACATGTAACATGTTGGTATCCATTATATTTTTTTTTTGAAAGAAGTCCCAAAGGACAATATATTTCATTAATGAAAGTCATACGACATCTACAATTGACAATTAAAGATAATAAAAACATATTAACAAAATCAAACGAGAATTAACCGGGGAAGGGCTAAGAAACCAAATACATAGATATAACAATTCGACACATTCTCGATTCGTTATCTCATATTATACAACTTTTTAAGAGGATCCGTCGCCGTTTCACAATTTTGTGAGACGAAAAATTCTTGTACTGATTTTGTAATCTGAATCGGGCAATAATCAATTGTAGCCCCACGCAACTGGACCATATTAAGCGCAAATAAAATCTTGTCTTTCGAAGGAGATCGAAAAACGTTGTCTTTCAAATGAGATCGAAAATCTTGTGTTTCGAAGGAGATAAACCCTTTATTTCGAGGGAGACATTATTATAACCTAAGAAACGTAAAAAAAAAATAAAAAAAAATAAAAAAAAAAACCTTAAAAGAAACAAAGGTCGGGGCTTTTCACCGATAAAATCTAATAATAGCCCCTTCAATGCTTCAAAATTAATAATTGAGGCTAGAGTTTAGGAGAGAGAAGAGAGAGAGAGGAGGCTAGGGTTTTTAAGGAAGTAGTGAAAACCAATGGTACCATTACATTGTTACATGTTAATAAAACATACTGCATAACATGACATTGTTCATACAAGTATGAAAAAAATCCAATATTACCCGTTCTTTTCGCCTTGAATCCAAGATACTCATTGTTTGCCCAAAATTACGAAAATATAGAGTTGCTATTTTATTTACTTTAAAAATACGGTAAGATACGGGGGTGTCTCTCACCCTATCATAGGAATTGGGGGGTGGGGATGGAGGGACTAACCATCCTCCATTTCCTATGTTCTCCTATATTTTCATTTGTTAGAGGTTGTGTTGCAAGTACATTATATTAGAAACAAATGAATTACATACATGAGTTTTGGAATAAATGATTTTAGGGTTTTAAAAAGTGTACAATGTTTGAACTGCATACTTTAAAAAATCATTTTTTAACAATTATAAGTGCATCTCATAACAATTAACATGGTTTTCTTTGGGGTGAATAGTAAGTTTACTTTGTCTAAAAGCAATGTAAAATGTTAGAGCACTCTTACTCATGAGTATTTTTTTGCCCATGAGGAGAATTTTATGGAAAAAAAGGAATTTTGGCTTCCCACCCATGAGCATTAAAAAAAATGCCCATGAGGAAATTCTCAAATGCCCATAGCAATGGAAAAAATTACTTGCTACAGTAGCGTGAGCCATGGAACTAAATCAGCAAAAAAAAAAAAAAAAAAAAAAAGTGTTGTATATATTAAAAAATAATGTGATGATGGTAATGTTAGGAGAGAGAAAAAAATAGGAGAGAGAGTGGTGTGGGGTTTTTTTTAGCCCATGAGTGTAAGAAGTTGTAAAAAAAAATGTCCATGAAAACAAGTTGAAAAGAGGAGTGAGAAAATAAGTAGAGAGAGAATTACATTTTTTTTTATTTGATCATGCGTGAGAGTGGTCTTTAGATGATGATTTATTTTTATGTTGATGGTTCATATATTTGAGCTAGATATTTATTTTTAACGTAAAACTTAAATTTTATAATTGTAAAAAAAGGGAAATCTCTTAGTAACATTCAACTTTTTATTTTTCTCATTGCTGAATTGTAAAAAACTCAATTATCTTTGGTGACATTAATTGATTACCATTGATAATAACTATTTTAATTAAAATCATTAACCATAGTTAGTTTTTCATTTCTTTTAATAATAAAATTATTTAAGAAATACCTTTTTTTTAAAAATAACCCAATCCCCTCACCACCAGCCAGCCAGCGAGCCACCCACCACCGATTAGCCCCCCTCTTGCCCTCTCCCCGCCAAAAATCTTGTCCCCCACCCCAATTCGACCCCTCCTCCCATCCCCCACCCTAAAACACCGCCCCCCAAACCCTAAACCCCTCACTTTGAAACCCCCACCTGAAATCCTAAAGGGGTTTTGGGTTTGGGGGCGGCGTAATGGGATGGGGAAGGGGAGGTGGGGTCGAATTAGGGGTGGGGGGGGCAAGAGAGGGGCTGTTTTGGTGGGGGGAAAGGGGGTGGGTGTCGTGGGAAAAGGGGAGGGGGTGTCGTGTTGGGGGAAAGAGAGTGGGCGTGGGGTCGACCGATGGGGGAGAAGGCTAGATGCCGGCACAGGGAGGGGATGAGCTCGGGTGGGGAGGGTTTTTTTAAAAAAAAATCATATTTATTATTTACCTTTTTGTTTAATAGTTAAAAATAAAATAAAATATCCAACCATAGTTAAAGATTCATTTAAAAATCATCATTAATGTTATGTTTAACTTAAAATCAATAATACAAGGTTACCAAAGATAATAGATTTTTTTACAATTTACCCAAAAAAAAAAAAAAAAACCTAAAACGTCTAAAAGTTAAACTTGTTTGGCATCGTTTTTTGTTTTCAGTTTTCCTTTTTTTGAAAATAAAAAACCAAAAACAAGAAAAAAGTGTTACTCCTTTTTTCTGTTGTCAGTTTTCAACATTATTATGATTTTAATAACTTTGATTAATTTTTTTATTCATTATATAACATGTATCATATGATTTTGAAAAACAAAAAACCAAAAAACAGAAACCACAACGATACCAAACGAATCCTAATTTGATACTTCATAATATTTAATAAGTTCTCCTCTTCAAACTTTATGCCCAAAACATAAAGTTAAATGAGAGACAAATAACCATTTTTAGTACATGGCTCATGTCGACACAGGCACGCATGAGCCTTGTACTTTACCTTAGTATTCATATTAATTGTGCCCTAACCCAACAATGAAAATTATGCAATCTCATATCTCGAATATTATATTCCCTGGAAATCCGGAGTCAATTAGGAGTCGATAAATCCAGTTATAACAAAAACCGTTTTGGATAAAGGAAATGGGAGGGGGTCGGTTTTAGTTCCAATTCCCAATTATTGGGAAAAAAAAACTACTTGTATACCCAATTAATCAGATTGAGATTACTGTATTTACTCATGCCCTAGAAGCTATAGACAATGCGAAATGAGAACCATATGAGAACCTTACAAATACACGCAGGATATTTATTACCTCCAACTTTTGTTTGATACATGGAGACAATACATGAGCATTTAAACTATCGAGCTATAATTGGCTAGGATCAATAGCGAGACAAAAACTTGTAACAGAATAGATTGTGTTGATGATTAAACAGTGAAAGTCAAGAAAAACTGAATGATGATTTGCAAGGATTACAGCTAGTTTGACAACTTGTCCAGTGTTTGAAGGAAGTCAATTACACGAGTTTGAAACCCAACAGCAACGAAGGCCTAAATGCAGCTGCCAGCTTCTCCTTCCAGAACAATCGCATTATCTCATAGACCCCTATCAAAAAATTCCAGCAAATTTTTTTAATAAGACTTTCCATGTACTGAGTATCAATCACTAAGATTAAGCAGAGAAAATGATCTAGCCATACTCATGCTACGCACATGCACCTTGTTCCCTTCCAAAAGAACTTAAAGCTAGATCTTAATGCACAGCTGTGATCCAAATTTCTTGACATCATAAATTAAAGCGCCCAGGTTGCCACTTTCGTTCACTTATTAAGCAATTACACAAATTAAGCACAGCCCCACCTTAAAAAGATTAATTGTGACCGGTGAAAGCCACATATTGCCATTGCCTCCATATATCAAGTCATACATTCAGAAAATTATCCTCTGATGCTACCAAACACTCAAGGGGGCACCATAACAGCCCATGTGCTAAACACACATCAAGCTTTAAGGGCATCATCTGCCTGAAAGATGATGTGGTTGCGGTGTAGGTCATACTGTCATAGGCTATCTATTTGACATCGCAGGATACAATTCAGTACAACATGCAATTTTCAGAAAGTCACAATTCCAGTTGGAGCTCCGTGCTAGTTTTCAGACAGACATCAATAATATATCATTGGATGGCAGCAGAATTTCCCAGGAAACATCTTGCTTTGCAGAGCTTGCACATGATATCGAGAACTATTAGGACAAATTTGCATCTCTAAATGGTGACGCTAACGTCTCTAAGGTTATATTCGCAGCATTTCTGCAAGAAAAAGTGAGAAGGGATCTACCAGTCTACCTAAAATGGCTATATATAGAATGTGACGTGTTAATGACCACTTGACCAGTACAATAAGCACACACACTAGCTTCTGTGGTCAGAAATTGCTTTTCAAAATTTCAGGCTGCAGCTATATTGGTATTTTCTCATACGAATATCCTTGATTCATCCATAATGACCACCTAGTTATCTAGAAAAGTGGTTCTTTTATGAGGTAGAATGACCAATTGACCATAGTGAGTCTTCCAGTTCTAGTTCATTGATTGAGAAAGCCAACATATATTTCAACCGAGATAGAGATATGTTGAAAAAAAACAGAGTCTAATGAGACATAAACAAGCAGATTGACAGCATGTCAACACTTGGTAAGCAATAGCATAACAAATATATATTGATCACTTGATTACTCATAAAGGACCTTCTTCACAGAATATAATCCCAATTAATACAATACCCTTGCACCACTTTAGTCAATATTTAGCCAGCATATCACCTCAGTTCTTCCATCACTTACCCAAGAATTAATCGTACCATTAAAACGCTCAGATTTTCAAACCTAATAACATAAACTTCATTACTTTAAGTACCAATCCAAATACCCAATCAACTAAGCAATTCACCATTAACAAATAAGTTCTGATAATTCAGAAGCAAACTTTGCTAGCAGTTAGGTAACTGCTACCTAACTGCTAGCAAAATAGTGTTCGATCAGACAGGCAGTCACCTTAATTCTCCCAATATCCACTTCACAAGTGCATCAACATCCTAAACAATCACATAATACCCTCATACCAACCAACTCCAACAAAAATTCAATTCTAAACTTATAAAATTCACCCTAAATCATAACTAGTGTAAACTCAACCTACAACATTTCCCCACAACACATACTAGTAGCATTTCAGCCATTTCCGATACCTCGAATCAAATCCCATCTACATCATTCCCCTGGATGTCTCCTTATACACCAAAACAACACCACAACATATAACATTTCAGTCATTTCCCAACGCGACTCTCATATATACACAATTAAAATTAAATAACATTTCCACAACATGAATTCATACCCAATAAATTGAAATCCTTTAAAAAAAAATTGGAATTGTTCTGACCTGACTTTCTTGATGAGGATGGATTTGAGCTTACGAGCAAGGTCCTGGGATTGGAGTCGACGATGAAGAGCTTTGCGGGCTAAAACGCGCTTCTCAGAATTCTTGATGTGGTGAGTTTGTTCATTCTTAATCATTCGTTCGATCCCACTTGAAGTCATTTTTCTCTGCATGAAGGAAAGCGCTTGCTCCAGGTTACCGTTTCGAACCCTAACTCGGATCCCCCGCCATTGTTGGAGAGATGAGCTCGCTGAGTTGATTGCTGAACTCGGGCGCTTCAGCAGGCTCGCCAGGTGACTCATATTTTCTGGGGTTTTGTTTAGGGGTTTTCGTCGCCGGTGATAGTGAAGTTAGAATGTAAATGAGAAAATTTGAAGAGATGGGTGAATAAGAGCCCAGCCCAATGGGAATGGTCTTTTAGACTCTTTTAAGTCTTTTTTCCCCTAAAACTAAATACTGTAAAGTCGTCAGAGATGAGATGGTTATGTCTATAATGCCATTCACATATTTTCGCGTAGAATTTCATAAAATCACATTACCTTACCTATAGGCTATAATAATAATCGATTTAAATCCTCCTTAAGAAAATAAACTAATTGTAATTTTCACGTTAATATTAACTTTGAATAACCCATCCAACCTTGTTTATCCCCATGCCGTCACAAAATATGGACATCCTCTAATTTTGCATCAGTTTTAACTAGTATTAGCTTCTAGTTACATATGCATGATAAGAATAGTTTCACGTTAGGTGAGCAATCACCTCCTTACATTATAATTTCGACTAAAATTAGATTACATATTCCCCAAACTAGATAAAACAAAAAGTACCCCGAAATTGACCATATTCAACCACGACTTAGACTGATTCATATCCCAACCTAATCAAACAATTACTTACCCATTTGACCCGAACCCAAACTTGAAACTTCTTAATTGAATCTCCTGAACAATCCGTTAATCACCTCTATTGAGTACTGACATTAGACATCATTCTATTCAACTTATATTGTTTGAAACTTTGAACTTACTGAGTAACTAAATTTTCTCTTGATCTCATATTCTCATGTTAATTCACACTAGTTGTTGGAGCGCCCGCATGCCCCCCCAATGTTGTTAAATGAAACGGGAAGAGTGTAATCGCAATTAATGATAAGGTAGAGAGCTGATATGTGAAAGCTACGAATTTAACATAACTAATGTTGTGTGTTAGGTTAGTTGTAGCATTCTGTGAAGTGCATTGTATTGTTTTGACATCAACTTTGAAGAATATCACTATAGATCTGGGTTCATTATTGTTTCCATGCTGGTATTCATTAGCTAATTAGGACGCAAGTGTAATAGCAACGGCAATAGGCATACATTAATAATAAAGTTTCATACAGAATGCTTACATAAACTGCTAAGCATAGGCAATAAACTACTTGGGTGTTTTCTAGGAACATATACTACTGTTTATGTTCCTTTAAAACCCCTCAAAATATTTAGCTTAAGTCTGATATGTAGGTGTTTCAAGACTACACAGACTAACATGCGTATCTAAAGACCTTTCCAAAAGAAACTACACTGCTGGATTAACCATATTTTACACACAGCAGCTGCAGAAATTAACCGTTGCTAGGGGGATACACTGCAATTGAATCAACTGGTGCTAGTGTTGCAGGTAGTTCTATGTACGATAAGTGAAATGCACCATTAGGGACTGAGCTTCAAAAGGTTAAGCCTGATTAGCAAGGCCAAAAGGTGAGCTTCAGTAGCTCAAGGCTGATTAGGAGAAGCAGAAGTTAAGCTTCCCTTGGAAGCTTCTTTCTTTGCAGGAGTGCCTAAAAAAGGATTTGTAGCAGTGGTCGGAGCTTCAGTGACTGAAGTTGGGCTTTCCTTGCATGGTTCTTTCTGTGTAGGAGTGCCTATAACAGACTTTGTAACAATGGCAGGAGCTTCAGTGACAGAAGTCGAGCTTCCTTTGCATGTCTCTTTTTTTGCTGGAGTGGCTACACCAGGTTTGGTAGCAGTTGCTGGAGCTTCAATGACAGAATCAAATTGATTTGGAGATGCTGATAAAGAGAGTGCTTCGCTTGCTGTATAATTTGGCTCAGAAAAGAGAGAAGTTCTTGGTCTTTTCTTAGTAGGACCTGGTGAATCAGCTGCCTCAGAAGGTCCTTCTTCTTCAGCATAGAACATAGCAAACTCTTTGTTTTGTGAATATTTGCTTTCTTCAGAGGCTTCTACAAGATCCTTAAGTTCTTCTTCCATTGCCTGTTTCAAGGATCCTGGCATGTTTGCACCTTCAGATTCACGTCCCAGTTCGAGTAAAATTTAAAATAATAGTTGTATTACATCTAACAATAATCATGTACAAGGAAATTAGCTAATTACTGACCTTGGCACAAACCTTACCCCTATATGCTGCTTTGCATGGAACACAGCTCATTCTCCTCATCAAACAAGGGGTGATCATGACTGCTAGTGAGGTTATCATTACTACATCCTTCCTGCCAAGGTTATCAATTCAACAATCAACAACTTGTGAGCTTGTTCTTTAGATACATCACAAGTTGTTGATTGTTGAATTAAAGCTTTGATACATTAATAATGCATACATACGCATTTTAAAATATTTAGAAATTTTTAGGGTTATCAATACTATTATTTTATATTAGTATTCTTGCATTTATTAATGACAAATTAGCTGGCATCTATGAGATATGTTGCTGTTTGTTATTTGTTTGATATGGGCCTTTGTATGTGTTCTCAAAAACACATGAGCTCTAAATTTTTTGATCTTAATATATATTCATTTCAGACCTTGGCACAGATTAAACAATCTTTTGTTTTTCCTCACTTCTGTTTTCAACCTGCACAAAATCAACTACCAATTCCCTAACAGCACCATTATCTTTTTAAGTGAAATTTTCTAGCATAACCCGTTCTTTACATTTATTGCAATCAAGTAACCTGTAGTTGTATTAGCTTATTTCCAAATATTTGGAAATCAAAGTTGCCTCTCTCCCTCTCTGAAAAAAGACAGGCAACATTGTTATCCAACAAAATTTAAAACTTTTCTCCAAAACAAAAAGAAACTGGGACAGCCGACAGGACTATCTTCATATTAATCGGGGTGTTTTGTTTTATCTTTAAGAGATCAGAGTTTAGGCAAAAGTTGAGCAACAGATTTGATGAATTTAAAATTTCAAATCATAACCAAAACTGAACAGTTGAGTTCAGAAACAACATATCATACAAATTTAAAAAACTTGTCAAAACCTCACTTAAAATCTGTCAAACCACCCAAAAAGTACGAAAAGCAAATCCTGCATCGAGAGTCAAACTTTAAACCGAGAACTTCGATTACTTAACATACCCCATTGACAAGTATACAGGTTGTACCCTACTGGGAAGAAGCAGATTTTTAAAGAAATGGCAAAGTTCATAAGTGCCATTCAGATAATGGAACAAAGGAGTTTTAGCCCTATCTTATCCAATCTTTGCAACCAAGTTAATCTAAAGTGATGTATGATCTAATCCATGCATACAATCTAATAATATAAATTTAGATACCTAATTGGCATAATACACTATGCAATGATTGATCTAGTCAAGGGTAATTTCTAAGTAAGCATCTGAAATTATAAATCTGTTTTTAAAAAAAATTCTAGGTAGAAGATTAAACCCATTATATAATGGCAATGTTAGATTACTCAAATCTAAATGTTGTAATCAAGTTAATAAAAAGTGATAAGCTGAGTGTACACCCTATGTTTTGAAGCGGCTAATTAGAGTCAATTAAATTATCTTCATTATTTTAATAACTTATATGTATTTTGTAGATGGCAAGCTGAGGTGGAAAGCAAAGGAAGTCAAGATTAGTTTCTTTTGTGGTCATAGAGAAAACTTTCACAAACTTATTGCTTGTTCAGTTTGCGATTTCTTATCACTGCATATGTCCTTTTTTAGATTAGTTTCTGTTGTGGAGTCTAATTAGTCAGTCACATGTGGTTACTATAAAATCAAAACAAAAACTTGAACAAAACCCTTCCACAAATAAATTGGCCAGATAATATATGAATTGATTATATTGAGATTATTATAAGGGAAGCTGATAGCTAAACTGGCAAACCTGTTCCAGCCATCTTAATTTCCTTAGAGCTAGAGCCACAAAGATTGTGAAATTTAGCACCATATATATCCAGGGCTTGTTCCTGTAGAAATGAATATATATTGTGCAAGTTAGTGATCAATGATTTAATGTAGAGCAAGCTAATCATTTAAAGGCTAGCATCTATTACATTGTCAGTGAATTCTGAAGTAACGAAAAACGCAGTCCTATGTTTTTTAGTGTTCATGAACCTATAGCCATGATTAAGCATAATTAGATCTGTTTTTGGCATATTTTCTTATTTTAGCAAGTAATGTGGGTGAAAACGGCATCAACAATGGCTGTTATAAGTCTTCAAGAGATTATTATGTTATAGGATATTTACATGTGTGTGGTTAGGAGTCCTGCTTTGTTCTGGTTGAAAGATTAGACTTTGTATTTTCTGCAATTTCTGTTTTATTCACATAGCATGAACTGCGGAAAAAAATGGAGCTGTAAATTACTATGGTAATAAATTAAGACTCCTAAACAGGCAATTCTTATAATCTAGAATGTTCTAACCACATTGACATCTAATAAATTCTAACCAAATACTTAATAGATCATCTCTTATCATCCTATATGATGTCTTAAGTTCATTTCCATTTGTCAGGAATATCCGAATATAGCAAAGAGCCTGATACATTAACCCGTTTATATTTTAAAATCATCAGTAGTTCAGAACACAAAAGTAAAAAATCAAGTCTTACCACCAGAGGTAACTGGAAAGAACAGTGCATATTCTCTCATGCAACTTTAAAGTCTGCTTTAAGAATTTTACCTAGAAGAGTTGCCAAGTTATCCTAGTGAGCAACTGAGCTATGGCAGATGTTTTTACCAAAATCTGAAGTTGGATTGATATCCAAACGAGCATCTACCCTAGTCATATCCCCATATGGCCTACTGAACTTCTCGTGTTGAAAAGTGTAGCAAAATGAGCCAAACAAATCAGCAAAGACAGAAGTCTTGTTAGAGCTTGAAGGAGTGCTATTCATCAGCTCCTGATGCATGGTTTGATATCTTCTATTCGCCATGAAGCCAAGTGCCACCTGATATAAGGAAACAAGTAAATGATACATATCAACACATCTTCTGAGGGATAAATGATAGAAGAGTATGACTTGATTATTGTGATCTGAATCAGATCAGTGCAGGTTTCTATATCATGTCCAGCAAATATAGCTGCTTCATTAAAAGTGATACCCACACGGCCCTATCGAATTTGCTTCCATTTAAGTATCCAGGGGTATTAAGAGAGAGAAATAGAAAAGGAATTGGTACATGTAAATGTTGATACAAAGACTATCAGATTGTATACGGTGGCAGTTTAGCTTTATTTATAATAAATTGGATGCAGGACCACGATCTGCTACCCAGGTCTGTGGATATAGGCCAAATAAGCTTTGATAAATGTGGAGCAAATGAGCAAGTGATCAACTATACTTCAAATGAGAAAGAATAAATAACAAAATGATAAAAAAGATATGCTACCTCTTTGGCTATTTGTTGCAGAATTGGCATGATCTCAGAGAATATTGATATAATAGTAAGCAAGCCAGTATTCTGCTAGCTTTCAGTCCATGCCAATTTTCCATTATCTTTGCATTATCAAGTTCACTTGTATAAGACAAGAAAAGGTATCCACTTTGTTAATAGAAGAAACTGATAACAAACTGATGAGTCAGCACAGCCAAATAGGCAAATTGCAAGAATATCATAAAATTGTGTTGAGAAAATTAACATTTTGGAACAAATAAAAAACTGACAACAGGTAATGAAATACAGAACCATCCCAAAAAAAAAAAGCTGGACTTTAGAAAAATCATTAAAGCGAATTTAGGTTTAAGAACATGTTAGAGAGTAGAGTAACTGTACAAATGAAAATCAAACAATCAATCAATTAATAAATGAAATCAAAATCACACCTTAAAAATATGAACTCTGCTCTCTAAAAAACACCTAATCCCAGCTTCTTTACGCTGCAATTGCAAGAATACAACAGGTAGACAACAACAAGCTAGATCAAAAGAATAACAAGTTTAGGTTTAACAAATTTGATATGCTAATCTTCAAAGCAAAAATAAAAACATATATACAATCAGAGATAAGAGCTAACAGCAACGGAAATAGGCATATATTAATAATTGAGCATTATACATAGAAGCTTAGATAAACTGCTAAGCACAGTTAATGTTGTACTTGGGTGTTTTCTAGGAACATATACTACTATCTAGATCCTTTAAAACCCCTCAAAATATTATGGTTTAGTTTTATAGTTAAAGGTTCTTAAACAACACAAACTAATGTAAGTGATGTAAGACCTCTCTAAAAGAAATTGCACAACTGATTTAACAAAAGCTTACATAAAGTAGGCGCAGTCTTTAACCGTTGCTGAGAAGATACATTGCAATTGAATCACCGGTGCTAGTGTTGCAGCGAGTTCTATGTACGAAAGTGGAATGCACCATTAGAGAGTGACCTTCAAAAGTTCATGCCTGATTATGAGAATGCACCATACCATAGTTTAAGGGAGTGGTAAAATGCTATAGTACAATTCATATTCATTATAACAATAAATATTGACAGTCATAAGGTTTTTTTTTTTATTTTTTATTTTTATACCATACCATAGTTTAAGGGAGTGGCTAAAATCAATGGTACAATTCATATAATTTTAAAGTTTCATAGCCACTGATTTAGATTTGCTTTTCCAAAGTAGTTTTTGCCAAAAGCATAAGATAACAACTCATACATTTAGATTTAAATATAGATTTTAATGACTAAGATAAACTCATGATAAATCTGAGCTTGCTAATAAGGTAAATTACTTAAATCCAAAAACACGTACCATTGGCAGACTTCGGCAGCTACAGATTACTGGATCCTTGAATTATACGAGCTAGTCGTAAGACATCATACGAACAATGTTCTTAGTATAATTTTCTGCATACTGCGCTGGTGGCTGCGAAGTGTAGACAGCTATTTTGCTAGCTTTCTTCGTTCTAGAGAGAGCAACGTACAACTGCCCATGAGAAAAGCATGGCCGAGGAAGAAACACAGACACCTGATTAAGGGTCTGCCCTTGTGACTTGTTTATGGTCATTGCAAAACTGAGTTTTATTGGGAACTGGTTTCTTTCAAACTGGAAAGGATACTTTGATGAAGCAGAAGATCTTAGGCGAATTCTATGTATGAACACATGTTTTCCAGCATACCGACCAACAGCTATAACACATTCAATAACATTTGGTCGAAATCTCTTACATATGAGTCGCGTACCATTACAATATTACATAAACCAGAAGAAGGAAGTATATTGCGCAGCAAAATCACAGGACAATTTTCCTTTAATACCAGTTCATGGGGGCTCATTCCCCCAGGGCACAGCTTTAGAAATTCTGTTGGGTACACAGTGCACATGTCATCAAGAATGTTATCAAAGCTTTTGTAAACAACAGGAACACCAGGGAAATCTTCAATCATTGCTGAATTTATAAGATCAACATCATCATTCATTGGTGTAAGAATAGCTCGTTTGGTAAAGATATCACTTCCAAACATTCCTAAACTCAATTCTGGATATGTGGCCTTTGTTATTTCATTGATAGGATTTGTATCCGTCACAAGAGGTTTAACAATTTCCACTGGCAATTGAACATACTCATTTTCTGACTGCTGTAGTTCTCCATTTCCCAAAGACAGCAAAAATGCAGAATACTGAGGATCATCTAGAGCTCGTATATTTTCAGTGAGTTTAAATATCTTAAGCTTAGGCCACAAGTAAGAAGTAACAACGCTAGCTTGAACAGCCGCCCGTTGCGTCTTGTGCGGGACAATTGGTAAAACTTGTTGAAAATCTCCCCCAAACACTACAAGTTTGCCGCCAAACAAAGCCTTATTTTCACATAAATCTTGCAGCAATATATCTAAAGATTTAAGGTTCTCTTTATGTGCCATTGAAGCTTCATCTCAGATTATCAAAGCTGTTTCTTTTAGAAGTGCTGCAAGGCTGCCTTGTTTAGGAACAGCACATGCCAAAGAAGCATCAGAATCGATTGGAATCTTAAACCTAGAATGTGCTGTGTGACCAAAAGGAATATTTGCAGCAGCTATTCCAGATGTAGCTGTGGGCAATACAATCTTGTTCATGAGCCTAATTTCAGCATACAGCGAAATGTACAGGAAGGTTTTCCCTGTACCTCCAGGACCATCAATGAAAAAGGCACCTGGTTGGTTATCTGTGACATATTGCATGATGCAAGTAAAAGCAGCTTTCTGAGCTGGATTCAAGTGTTGTTTGCAATCTATACATTCTTGAGGAATGGGTGCATCCAGAGCATCAATAATGTCTTTGGTTCGTCGTAGCTCTGAGTCAGATTCCTCTTCTATCTCGTCAATTCCAAAGTCTTTTAGATATCTGCCCATTGCTTCAAGATCTTTTTCAATAGATCTAACAGTTAGCTGTCGAACTTTAGACAAATCACCTGGAAATTGATGGCTGAAATCATCAGATAGAAATGGATAATACTTGGTCCATAAAGACACAGGGTCACTTGGCTGACAAAAAATTAGTAGGGTTGCGAAGAGGCGCCTTAAAGCAGCTGGCATCTGCACTTCACAAGCTTCATGCAAACACAAATTTGCAAGATCTTTGGCCTCCAGTAATCCTAGTTTTAGAGCAGCTTCCTGAAAGTAGAGCAGACAGATCCATTGACAGTTCTGAGATGTTCAAATGATGCTGGACTCCGAACATGCAGCAGCAATGATCGCAAGTAAAATCGCTCTCCTTCTGCTGGAAAGACAAAAGCTAAACGACCCACTTGAAATTTGTTACTGGCTCTCTTAATCCACTGTTTATTCGATGCATCCCATCTATAGTGTTCACAAAACTCAGCATATAGATACCCTAATCCTCCAGGAATGGCAGCATTCATAGCAAAGAATTCAGTGAGCTGTGTACATGAACGTCTGGAATTTGCAACAACAGCATTTAGACGTTCAGCTGGATGTAGGTGCACAGTTTGCTGATTTGGCAAGTGCACCTGCAGCAAGAGAACTGGAGGGTACATCTCAAACAAATCGAATGTGAAAATTCTCCATGCAGCTTCACAAGGTGAAACCCATCTCCCTGACTGAAATTGCTGGATCTCATCAATAACTTCACCATTTGTAGGAACAACATTATAAGAAATTTTGTCGTGCCCCTTGTACACATATTTGTACAGATATTTAACAGCTTTTATTGTAGAGCATACCTCGACATTTAGATGACAATCAAACAGAACAGAGAGATATGGATTATAGGAATCACCCAACGATTATCAAGCTGAGCCCCTCTTACTGTGACCTTTTCGCCATTGTCTCTTCTACGATATGTTGGAAATCCATCATCATTAGTTGTTGTCTGACTTGAAATTTTTTTAGGGAAAGCATACTTACAGGTTGCCTTTTTATGCTTTTTACGCATACAAGAACATTGAGGATTCAAATATCCACAAGGACCATGCATCATATGCTTAAGGACAATTTTCCGTAAGACTGGATCACTTGTAGATGGAATCTCTGCACATACGAACTTGTCATAATTCTCTGGACACTTCAGCTTTGATGCACCCTTTAAAATAATCAAGAAATGACCATGAGGAAGACCTCGTTTCTGAAATTCAATAACGTAGATCATTGCGGCAACCTCACCAAAGACTTCAGTCTCCATAATTTCTCTTTTCAGAGCTAATAGTTTTGCTCGGAACACCCTTGCCACAAGATCTGGCCGGTCTTGCGCTAACTCACCAAGGGCTAGCTCAGCTTTAATCTCCGGCCAATTTGCATTACATGTAATTGTGACAAACACATCTGGCTTTCCATATCTCTGAACCAAGGCCATGGCATTCAAATAACGCCTTTTCATATCTCGGGGTCCACCTATAAAAGTTGGTGGCAAATAACCCTTTGACCGACATTATATGCTAATGCCTCACCCCCCTGCAAAGAATCTAATATACCTTGGTAAAGGTCTGATCTTATAGTTGCCTGGTTATTACGAAAATAGTCTAATCTAGTGTTTTCCATCTTTACATACATGTCTACGATATATTACTGCAAGAGTCTACCAGCTCGCAGCAACATGTTCCCAGCCCGCATCTGCAATAAAAAAGCATAATAGTCTCTAGAAGAAATGTATCTATCGGCTTTTGTACGCTTTCCAGATGCTCCTGAAATAGATACACATGAAAATCTCATTAGACAGGAACTCAGTGTATAGAGCATCTTAATGCGAAACTTCATAAATAAACCATACTCATTCAACACTTACGCGACGCCTCTGCATCCAAGAGATCTTCAGCATTATGAACAGAACAAGACAGCACAGGATCTACTTGTGTGGCCAATTGTTGACGATCGCCCCAAGATTTTTTTTTTTTTAACCCAGGATACTGTAGGGGATCATAGCACCCATAATGGTGATAGATACGATGAGAGACATTAGATTTGCCTGAAACCATAACATGAGGGCTAGCGCTATGGCTTGATGATGCGCTTTCAGGCCAAAAATCAGCCACTTCATCAGTTGTTGGAGCATTGTATACACGTTGATCAGGCACCGCATTTTGATTCAGGCTAATCTGAGTTTCTTCTGTTACTTCAACTTCCCTCAAAGAGCGAAAGAAATGAGCATAAGGGTTATGCTCCGATATGCGCATCAAAATAGCGATGATATCTTCTCGAATTTCTGGAAAGCTCCCAACCTTGTTTTCAGCTTCATGTTTTCCATCATAAAAGTATAGTTGCAAATACTTTGGCTGATCATCTCCTGGAAGAAGAACTGCGACAAAATGATACAGCTTCCCATGTAACTTGAACACATATACTCCTTTGTATTTGCTAGCATCAAAATTCCCACCCAACGAACTAAATGTGAATGAGTTATTGTATAAGCGAGCATATTTTCTGAAATGCACTGCATCTTCTTCTTGCGATGTAAACAACTGTGCAAGTTCTGGTGGGTATTCATTCACAGCAATTTCGATATCTCCATCTCCACAACAAAAATGTTTTGTTTATGATGCTAATTTCTTTGCGAAACAATGGTGGCAGTAGTGAGGAGCTGGTAGTTTCAGAGATTCTGCTGGCAAAGGTAAATCAATAGTGGCAGCAGGGAGCTTTATGGCTACAATGCATAATAATAAAGAGGCTTAAGGTAAAGGTATCTGCGTAAAGGTACATGCACAATAAATACAAGGGAAAGCTAAATAAAATTACTCTGATCTATGCGTTTCGTTTTACGCGTTCTGGTCCGAAAATTTCCTAAATCACTGCAGTCCAATTAAGGTATCAGGTCACTGTAGTATAGAGCATTTAAGCGATACAGAATTTACTATACCTGACTAAAATGGCGTACAGGTTGTTCTCCAAACGCACCACTCCTCCTGCCTATTCGTGTTCTAGAATTGCGAGGCATTTGAGCTTAACAAATTCAGATAACAAAATCAGTTACACAGTGTGAATTTGACTACCTCTGTCTTGATTTTAAAAATACATAAGGTAAAGACAGCTTTGAATCACATTTATACAGGCAACAAAGTCATTGTTATGAAGAAATGAGAAATTTATTCATTGGTCATGCTTAACCAGCTGCACACAGCTTCAATGAAACAAAATCAATTTATAAAATAGTGCATATTCAGAGCATACAAAGGTCTAACAATTTTTATATTAAAAAATAGGAACCCCAGGACTATCCACGGTTATTAATTTCTAAAAGTTGGAAGAGTGAATAACCAAGCCACGGTTGGAAAGGAATTGAAATCAATTTCGATTCACAAGCCATAACCTGTAACTTAAAAGAGTCACATCGGAAAATCGTACAACCATGGCTCACCAAAACTAAAGGTAAACAACAACCAACACAAACAAAGAGAAACAAAATCCCATAAAGAAAACCAGCACAGCTTAATCTCCATACATCCAAATATATCACCCAAATACAATTCTGTCCTAACATGGACTAAGCTATGCAATCAAACCATACCTCAACCATAAAGAATTCATCAATAAACCAAAAAAGATAAGACATAAATAATCTGACGCCAACACACTAACCAGATAAAACAAAATCATAACCACATAAAGAATCAATGTCTCATACAAGCAACAGTAGACAGCAAAGAGAACAAACAACCACAAAATCTATAGAGGATCAGCACATAGCAAAAAAATAATAAGCCTTTCCAAAACTCCGTACAGGAAGCAAGAATAAGCACCTGAAGCAACCTCAGCGAAACAGCAAGAGCACAGCGAGGGCCAAAAGCACAAGCAAACCAACCTGAGCAAAAACAAAACGCACAATGAGCACAGCAACCAAAATACTACTAACAAAACCCGACAGGCCCAACAGCTTGTAGGGAAAACATCAAAGCAATAAAGACACTACTAACAAAATCTGACAGGCCCAACAGCTTGTAAAAAAACACATCAAATAATATAATAAAAGCACAACAAAGAACACTCTATTAAAACAACAAAAACTAACTCTGTCAACAACAACTTTTATAGTTTGGTTGCATACAACACATTCTTATCCTCTCTTGAACACAGAGACATATCACTGAAAACATTAAATCCCAAAACGCAATGAGCAACACTTAAAAATGATGATCCCAAAGCTCTAAACCAATCTAGAATGCTCAATGAACCCCCCCCCCCTCTTTTTTTCCCAAGAATGGTGTCCTGTGGACAGCAAAATTCAAAACCAACATTCTAAATAACAACATTCACAATTTTTACACACAACAGCACATCTTCAATTTTTTTTTTATTTTTTTTTTCACACACAAGCACATGTTTCCGGGATCTTCAGCACAATGACATATAGTAACCAAGGTAACTCGCACAATGCAACCAACAACATTTAGAAAACCAGATCCAATTTTGAAAACCCTACAAGAGAGCAATCTATTGTAAGAAAACTGAAATCACATCTTGCTATGTGTAAATAACCTTTAAAACCACATATCAAACCCAAATCAGCAAATCAGGTAAACATCTTAGATGGTGCTCAAATCTAAGCAAGCTGGATAATTAGTCCAGGCAAATTTTGAGTTGAAATCACACTAAACACAGATCAAAGCACAACAAATAATTGAAGCAAAACATCAACATAGTACTCTTAACCCAAGTGAATAAATAATATAGGCCAATTTCGTAACTGATAAAAGTATTCTTTAAGTCCAATATTATTAGGTAAAGTCCAATATTTAAAACCATTAATTAACATGACAAAGATGAATGCAGCTCTAGAAGCTGATTACCTGGACCAAATTGTTGAGAATAAAAGGCAGCCACCAAACCAAAAATCCCTAATCCTCCATATATATATAGCAAAGGTAACACACCTCACCAAAGGTTAAAACCTCCACCAGAAAAAACAAAAAGCAAAGGTCTAGAACCAAATTACAATTTTCAATCCACCAAAAATCCGGAATACAAAGGCAATAAGGCCAAAAAAATTGGGCAAAAACCAAAGGTACAAAGCTAAAACCCAATGGACAAAACCGGCAACAAATAGCAAAATTAAAAACTCAACAAAAGTACACACACAGTACAACACAACCTCAACTTAAATCAGCTACAAGTACCATATCTACTAAGGACAAAAATCACCCCACTCACTTTAAAACCAGCAATACCCACCACCCTCCCCACTCCCCACAAAAGCAGATCAAGAAAACTAACAATAATCGTTATAATAACTCCACCAACTATAAATAAATTAAATAGCATTAGAAAATTTCGTAAAGAAAAATAATCAAATCTAATCAAGGCAGTGCTATGCATTTCAATCAAAATGGACTAATTAAAACACAAAAAACAACAAATAAATAAATTTACCCCATAAGCTCCGCCAGCTAAAGCAGCCACCATCAACAATTAACAAAAATACCCAGAAGCCACTACCGAGAAAAGTCGCCATTGTAACTGTAAAATCAGACCAAAAAAGCAACCTCCGTTAACTCCACAACACCCAAAATAATTAAAGTTCAAAGTTCTGCAGAAAGTATACCCGAAGCAGAAGAAAGCCGTAAATTCGATTAAGAACGAACAACTGAAGTTCTACCAAAGAAAGGTTGAATCAAGCGAAGTATTATGAAATTGAAGTAGTAGTAGAAATGGAGTTGCAAGAAAGCAGTGAAGTGAATGACGAAGAATAGCGCAAAAGCTTGAGTAACAATGGCGGTTAAGGTTGAAGTTGTTGAGAACAAGCTACCTTTGATGAAGACCACAAAGTAGATGATGAACAAATTCATATGTGCTGATTCTCAAAGAAGAAAGGACACATGTTTGCTTCACAGACAATCAGAAAGCCAGCTAAGCCACCCTAAAGTTCACTCATCAAATTAATTGGGCCAAGGGCAAACAAGTAATTTCATGCATTGAGGGCATAACGGGGAATACACTATTACTAAGCTACAATAGAAATTCTCATATTTTAGTAAAGGGGTGTTTGGTTGAATTTTTTGGAATGAATCCATTTCATGATTTTATTTGTTTGATTGGGCTATTTAAGTATGAAATCTCATACTTGGGGATTCTAACTCCACCTCATTCCATTGGAATCTCATACAGTCATACCCACCTCTCCTGTAAGGATTCATAATCCATACTACCACTTAAGTATGAGAATCTATTCTATAGTTAAAACTAAACAAGTTTAGATTGGTATGAGATATAAAATCCATATCATCCAATTATGAAAATTCATACCAATCCATTCCAACTCAGTGAACCAAACGATCCCCGAGGGTTAAGGATTCCAACGAGTTTAACTCTTGTAGATAAAACCAATAATTTTTTTAAAAAAATAGTGCAATGACCATAACACCCTTGTAACTACTCAACAACTACACAGCACCTTTACTTGTAGTCAGTCCAGAAGAGGTCGATGCCTTGATGTAAGAGAGAAATTGACGGTGGCTTCACACTCCAAACACTGACACTCTTCGCCATGGCCGCTGAGCTACGAGAGCTCCGCCATTCCAGTTCTCTCGGAAGCAGATCTTCTTCATCCCCTCGTAAAAACCCTCAACAACAACAGCAACAGCAGCGAGACGACGACGTTTCCCCCCTTCTCTCCGATTCCGATGATACTGCTGACGGCGTTCACTTGCGTAACTCACGTGACCACCGACCTCCCGTCTTCTGGTCCCACTTCTTCTCCGAAGATTCTAGGAGTTCTCCATCAAAGCTCTCCCTTTTCTTGATCATCTTTCTCGTTGTTGCTGGATTTGTCTCCGTTTCTTCCCTCATTCGTCGTTTGGTATGTTTAATTTTGATCAATTTTTGAGATTTAATGTCACTTTTTTTCGATTTAATTTTCTGGGTTCATAAGAAATTGATGCGTAATATATTGTTTTCCTTTCCCAATTTGGTATGGTGTGTGGGTATTTCAGATTTGGATTTAATTTTTCTGGGTTGTTTGAGATTCTGATTGCAATTACTTTTCCCCCAATTTTAGCAATTGGATAAATTAGTAATCTTGATTATCGCAATGGCAAGATTTGTAACATTGTTGATGGTGTAGCTTGATTTGGGCGGTTAATTTTGTTGAACATTTGATTTTGGTTGATGGGATTGTAGGAGAATTATTCTTACAAACCCTGTAACATTGAATTTGGAGACTTTTCCTGTTTGAATTTCGATTCGTTGGAATTCTATTAACATGTACTATAAAATATAGTGGTGATTAAGGGTGGTTATTCTTTAATGCTTGGTTATAAGATTTTCATTTGGAAGACTTACTTTTATGTTTCAATGTTTATTATCAGAATGCACCCTGTTTCGGGGTTTTCTGATGTCCTGCGGGAGAGTTACAATTCCGAGACTGGAACCGGACGCCTGTACCTGCAAAATAACGGAGACTCCTGAGAGCTCCGCCTCCAACGGTCAAGTTAGTACCTGATTAAGGAGTAATTAATACAGAAATTAAAGTAATAAGGTCTCTCTAGGTGAGAGTATTTAATGTAGGTAATCTGCTTTGCTAGCGAGATCAGCCGGTTATTAGTGTGTTCCGTAAATTCTTCGGTCCCTGATTAATGAGGATTAATCGAGTATTTATAGCCTTGGGAAGCGTGCAACTCTCTAGGTTTAAGGTAAACCTAGGGCCGATCGGGCTTCTAGACTGAAATGGGCCTTGATGGCCGGTTGTCCCATTTGGCATGGGTGGACACGTGGCGTGTCTTAAGTGGTCCGTGGAGGACGCGTGGCGGAACCTGGTTGGTCCACTTGTCAAACGGCGCTTGGTGGATAAAAATCCCCTAATCATTTGCCCCTCACAGGTGGCACGCGACTGGTCACGTGTCGCCTGTGACAGGTGTCGCACGGTGACAGGCGACGGCCCGTTACAGGTGTCACCTTGCAGACGGCCGGGAGACTCTCCCGCCCAAATTGGAATTCGGAAGCGACCCTTCGCCTTCTCATTTTGCCTATAAAAGGAAGTGCTGACTTCGGTCATTTTCACATTTGAGAATTTTTGCGAGAACATTCGGACCCCTGAACTTGCTCTGACATTTTCGGACTTTTTCTGCCTACCGCCTGTTCTGACAAGCCGACTGACCCGAACTTTCAGGACTTCATCAACTGTCATCCATTCAGGTAACTCAGTTCTCTTACTCTTAATTTTCTTTTTATTTTTTTGAAATGGCACCATGGAAGCACACGACACGCCCTAAGTTAGTGATCAGCCGGTCACCGGGGACGGCTGAATCTAGGACTAGGAGTGCCGCCTGCCCTTTTCTGGACCCATCTTTGCCCTTTATACAAAGTCCGACTGAATCTGTGTCTATGCAGAACGTGATGGCCAGAACAAAAAAGACTGCTAGAATATCAAACTCAGACGGCTCCTCCCAAAGGGTACTCCTTAGCGAAACATCTGACCAGGCGCCAGATGTGGAACGAGGCGACTGTCAAGCTGACAGTTCTGAGAGAGGGACCAAGGTGTTCCCTTCTCATCTAACCGTGGACATGTCCAATTTACCTTCTGCTCCTTCTAAGGGAGAGGAGGCGGGCCCCTCTAGGAGAGGGGAGGAGTCGTCCTCTTCGGACTCGTCAGGGGACGAGTCCGATTCCAGCTCTTCTGACCATAGTTCTTCTGACCATAGTTCTTCTGACTCAGAGGAAAAACATAACCGCCTACAAGAGGCGAGAAGTTCCCATGCAGTGGAGAAGGGGGATAATTGGGCAGAGCCGTCCGCCTCTTACAGAGAGGAAAACACCCCCTACTACTGCAGGGTGCCCCGGGGCCGGATCGCAACCATGCGAGTCAACGTGGCGAGCTTTATTGCTAACCACAAGATGGGCCCGGAGTATTTACTGTTTGTGCCGGATCCAGAAGATACTGTCGTCTGGCCGGCTGGTACCAGCTATGGTGACGGCTGTTTTGGCTGCTATGTGGCGGCCATCAAAGCTGGTCTGCGCTTCCCATTACATCCGGCTGTTCAGCGGATTTTAGATGGGTATGATCTGGGGTTATGGCAGTTAGCCCCCAACTCTTGGGTAAACGTACTCGGCTATGTGGCCGGGTGCGAACTGAACGGGGTGGAGCCAAGTTTTGAGGCTTTCGCCCACATGAACTATCTCAGCCGGACCCCTAAGTCGGGAGGTACCGGCTGGTATCAACTAACAAGCCACAGGGGTTACCTCATGACGAGAGGTAAGGCAAACAAATGGAAGGATTGGCGGAACACCTTCCTTATTATCGAGAGTTCAGACACGGAGCTGAACAAACGATTTAACAAGTGGAACAGGGATCCGCCTCTTCTTGCAGGCGGCCGCAGCATGCCGCCTGTTCCCCCAAAGGCTAAAAGAGAGATCCTAGACAAAGGACTCTTCAAAGTAGAGACTAGGGTGAACTCTACTTCAGGGGTACGAGAGCAAGTACCCCTACACTGCGTCCCGAGCTTCAAGTGGCTCTATGATGAGTACTTCTTGGCCGCCTGTGGCCTCGGCAGTCGGTGCTCTAGAGGTAGCCGGCCTGACGAATACTCTGTTTTTTCACGCCTTGTTTACTTGGGATTTTTACTAACTTTGCTGTTTATTTCTTTCAGCCGACGCCATGAGTAAAATAACAGCATCTAAGACTGCGGCGGCCATGCTGCGGGTCTCGCTAATGAAGCAGTCGTATGCCGACTCCCCCAGCAAGGAGGCACCCTTGGTAAGCTTTGAAAACTCTTCTCCTTTTGGTTGTATTATGCATATACTAACTCTTTTTGTTTTCAGTCTGGCACTCCAAGGGCTTCTTCCTCGCAACAGCCGGACCCCAAGGCCCGGAGGACGACTGTTGCAAGCTCTCCTGGGTCTTCCAGGAAAACAGTGGCGGCTGAGAAGCAGCCGGCCACCTCTTCAAAAACCCAAGCGGGGCCGCCTAGATGTATGGACCCTTGCTTGTAAAAACTCACTCTTGCTTCCTTCTTGATTAGGTCTAACTTGTTTTTCCTTCTGCTTAATGCAGCCGGCCCCCAGGGACTTGACTTGGTTGAGGTAGCCAAGTCAATGGTTAAAGTAGTTCCTCCCTCTGACAGGGAGGCGGTCAAGGGTGCCGGCACCCTTGACCTCGATGGAATTTCGGGGATCCTAGCTGAGGTATACCCTTTTGAAGTTCCAGGACGCCTGTTAACCCTTATGATTGGAAACTGACGCCTGTTTTTCTTTGTACTTAGGCCCTGCTCCGAGTCAACAGCCTTCGCAAGCCGATTGATCGGAAAAACAAAGAGGTAAAGGCCGCAAAGGCTATGGCCGCCTCCAGCTGTGATAAAGCAATGTTTCAAATTGCCCAAAATGAAGTACTGACCATTGATCTTCTTTATTATCAGGCGCAGGCGACCGCCGCTGTTCGGGCTCAGCTAGAGGCGGCCCAAAAGAAGGTTGACGAGCTGGAGGGGACCGTCACCAAACTTAAAGCCGAGCTGAAGCCCCTTCGTCAGAAAATGCACTCTTACGAAGCCATGGAGAAATCTTTGGCTAACGTAAAAGAACGCCTGGTGAACCAGGAGAAGAGTCTTACCCAAGAGCTCTCGGACAAGGCCGAGCAAGAAAAACAAGAGCTCGTCCGGGAGATGGTGGAAGACTCCGCCCAAATCCAACGCATGACCTGGGAACGACTGTTCCCCAGTGCCGACTTTGCCTCATGGGAAAGAACGTACCGCCAGTGTTCGGAAATATATAATCAACAGATCCTGGCGGCTGCTGAAGAAGAGGCGATGGACGTTGCGTTGGAGGAGGAAGAGCCGGTTGTGGCGCTTGTGCCACTTGGGGGAAAGGCATCAAAAGATGATGCAGCGAAGGCCGAGTCCAGCAAGAAGAGTGCTGACCAGGCGGCTGCTGCTGATACTGAACTGCCCCCTTCTTAAGCTTTAAGTATATTTTTTCTTTTCACGGCCTGCGTGCCGTTTGCTTTGTAATTACCCGGCCAGGGGGCCGGGGTTTTGAATATTCTGCTGGTCTTTATGGCCGGCTCATTTTAATCAAATTTTTTGTTTTTGTTCAAATTTGTCTAAGTATTTGAAATTTGCTCACTAGACAGACTGTTGTGCATGGCCGAACGTTAAGACAGGTACAAATAGTAAGTATGCCGCCTATGCCCCTGGACGACTGGTTGTCTGTTTCCAGGATAGATGATCAGTCGGCCATTTAATCAATCGGTATTCGAACTCTTTATTCAATTTGACCAAGTAAATAGAATTACCAAGTAGCCAAGGAATTTAAGTAGGAAAACAAGCGGCGGGTACCGGTTGTTTCCCTTTATTGCCAATGTTGGCCTCTAATTTGTTATTTGTTAACCTAGCAAGAGTATTGGTTGAGAGCCTTTGTTTATTAAAAACAAGTGGACGACTCGTACCTTTTAGGCTCAGTACTAAGTTTGAGTGACTATTAAGTTAACATAGGAGTTACTTAGTCTTCGTCACAATCTTGATTGAGTAGTAAAGGTATCAGGCGGCGTAGGCCGGCTAGACCCCTTGATTTACCAATGTTTGTTGGCTATTTACTCAATAGGTTATCCAGTAGGAATAGGGGTTCGAGTGCCCTTGTTTGTATAAAACAGGCGGACGACTCAAACTTTTTAGGTTCCATACCAAATTTGAAGGAGTGACTATGAGTTAACTTTGGAGTTACTCAGTCGCCGTCACTTTTGTTTGAGAAGTAGAGGTACCAGGCGGCGTAGGCCGGCTAGACCCCTTGATTCGCCAACGTTTGTTGGCTATTAACTCAATAGGTACCCCCTGCATTTATCCCAAGTAATACAGGCGGTCATCTGACTCAGATGTCAACTGCTACCACTGGTTTGGTTAGTGATAGAGTTATCCTTGTCTCAAAAACGGCTACGTGGTTGCCCTTTGGGACAGTCGTATAGGTGCCGTGTAATTAGTTTATAGAACAATGTTCCACCCAAAAGGGAGCTGCTCTCTGCGACGAATTTCATCCGAATGGATGCCGCCGGACGCCTGCTATAATGTTGGGACAGGTCGGATTAGTTTTTAAAAGTTAGATCAGTTGACTAGGCGCCTGGTCTGATCATTCGGCCAGTGGCCTTGGTATGTTCTTGGTGAACGTATGTGCTAAGTAAAAGAAGGGTAGCCGCCTGTTAGTTACAGGATCGGCCAGGCCCTAAACTTTTTAGCTAAGTATTGTGAGTAAAATACTCGAGGGAGAGTAGCCGACTGTAATGGAACAGACGGCGTGCCCCTGTAAAGATAAAGAGTGAAACTCAATGGAGAGTAGCCGACTGTAAAGGTACAGACGGCATGCCCCTCGTAATACAAAATTGAATAGTAAGT